TCTTCAATTTTATTTTATCATCTTCTTATTGTTTTTTCTTTTCTTTTCCTGCTCTATCACAGTGTGCAGTTATCGATCTAACTGTGTGATTAGTACAACTTAATTACGATTTGTTGTTAGTAAACTAAGTTGAATGGATGTGATTTCATTAATAACTACAGAGGATCAGAATCCGTAATGGGAGTTCTTTTTTAGGGTGATATCAACAAAAATATTTGTTTATTGTTGATTTAATTAAATATGTTTTTTAGATTTGAAAACTGCAAAATTTAATCAGAATAATATTTTTATTATTAAAATTTATTGTTAAAGAAACTAGCATTGTAAATGCTATTGCTATCAGACCTTTTCCCCTTTTCTATTTCTTTAGATGCTTAACCTTTTTTGAGCTAAACCCTGCAACTACGCCACCGTGTAACATGACTTTTCATAATCAATCTGCGGGATGTAAAGGAAATACAATAGAAAATAAATATTACTTTTGGTTACTTATTTGAGAGGTGTGAAAAATATCATGAACCGAAAAGGGTTAATATATAATTATGAAATAGAGTATTATATTAACAGAAAAGATAACGGAGTAGGATGTCAGTAGTGAGATTAAATATTAACGATAAAGTAAAAAAGAATTAAAACAGAAGAAGAGTAATTATTTAATATTTATAATAAGATTTAATGTTAATATTTTACATTCATGGGAGAAACAAATATTGTCATCTAGGAAACGTAAAATTGGTTTGGTATGATGTGTGATTTGAGGCCATCCCTGTGGTAATCATATCTCTGCACAAGTTGGTCTAATCCTTTTTGTTTTGAACCAGACGCGTTGTTTAGTTCACAAAGGAGTGCAGGTAGAAAACTTTGAACCGCTTCTTCCCCGGGAGACACAAAAGGAAACTTTTTGCAGAAAACGGGAAACTAATTAAGGGAAACGCTTCGAATCTCAGCCCTTTCTACTTAATATCTATCATCCGTTTCCCTTTGAACTTTGAACCAACTCAAAGCATTTACTCAAACACCTAGCTAGCTAGCTACCTGTCACCAACACAACTCAGATTGCATCATTCCAAACGCTTCCTGGGAACTTTCTCTTCTGTCATAATACGTCTATGTGAGTTGGAACTCGTGTACACTTCCTCACTGCTAAACCAAGGCCGAAACCCGTTCTTTTCTCTTTCGGCTCACGTAGATCTGATTACAGTTCAGATTTTGGTGATAGTCAGAAGGAAGCTTCTAGATGGCGAACCGTTGGTGGGCCGGGAACATGGCGGTGAAATCTGATGACCCCAACTCATCGCTTCAGCCGAGAGACCAAGACAGCGGCGACAACGCCAACAACGCCACTCCGACCAACAGCGGCAACAGTAACACCAACTTCAACGCTGGCGAGGACGACGACAACCCCGCCAACAACAACGACGGTGACGAGCAGAACCTTAGCAGCGGGCGGCGGCCGAGGGGCAGGCCGCCGGGGTCGAAGAACAAGCCGAAGCCGCCGGTGGTGATAACGAAGGAGAGCCCCAACGCGCTGCGCAGCCACATCCTCGAAATCAGCGGAGGCAGCGACGTGGCGGAGTGCATTGCCACCTTTGCCACGCGCCGCCACCGCGGCGTGTCTGTGCTTAGCGGAAACGGCGTCGTCACCAACGTCACGCTGCGCCAGCCCGCCGCTCCCGGTGGCGTTATCACGCTGCAGGGGAGGTTCGAGATTCTCTCCCTCTCCGGCGCGTTTCTTCCGGCGCCGTCCCCTCCGGAGGCCACCGGACTAACCGTGTACCTCGCCGGAGGGCAGGGTCAGGTCGTCGGAGGAAGCGTGGTGGGACCTCTTGTCGCCTCGGGACCCGTGATGGTTGTAGCTGCCACCTTTGCTAATGCTACATATGAAAGGTTGCCCTTGGAGGATGAACAAGGCGAAGAGGACATGCAAGAGGTGAATGAAGGTGGTGACGGCGGAACACCACCACCTTCTCTGGGTGATCAACCGCCACAAGTTCCAATGCCGGTGTATAATTTGGTCCCTAACAATGGTGACGTGTTCTGGGGAGCCCCACCTCGTCCTCCTCCACCTTCTAATTATTGAAATGAAACTCTTGTTTACTTTTAACCGTTAATCTTGCCGACTTATATATATATGCGTAGTGTGATCTGAAGTTTTCTTGTTTAAGCCAGGTTAGGGTACACCTTAGAGCGTATTAATAATCGATCTGTTTCATTTTCTTTTACGTTCTACCCTAATGTTCCTTTGTCTTTCATGTTGTCCCTTTTGTTCAATCTGCATACTTAAATCGGTGCTGGAAGAGTTTATTGGATATCTATTCGATGAATGATAGACAATTTTTGTTGTTACTACTTGCTTAGTTGGATTGTGTTGGGGAAGAAATGCTATCCTGAACGTCTGCATCGTGTCTGGTTAATGAACGATTGCGATTGAATTTTTGAAAGATGAGTACGAAAACTACATGATAATATGTGCCGGAGGCAAGGTCGGTTCTTTGTGTCTCTCAGGTATAATCGTTGTCGTACTTGGTTCTCTGTCCTTTATGTCTTGCTGTAATCGGGCATTTTGTACTAGAAGGGAGGAGGGGTCATTGCTTTTTTTTCTTTCTTTTCTGTCATTTCCCCAGTGGGGCAGGTAGAAATTATGGTTGCTTCAATCTGGTAAGTGATTCTGATAACTGATAAAGTTTAGGTTTTTAGAAGAGGGGGTGTTTATTATGTGGAACCACGAAATGTCCCTGTATCTTTGGTGTAGTATTTGTAAGAATTGAGATTTACGATTTGGTTTAATTATTGTTGAGTGAGTAAATGTCCAAAACTAGAAGTTCCATTTTTTACTCTCTCTACATTACCTCCAATGTGTGGTTGAGGTATTTTTGGGGAGTGATAACTTGTACTCTGAAACACCTTGAATGACCATAGGGTATAGGGCAAGGGGGTTCTTTTAGGACCTGTTTGTGTTGAGCTTATAATTAGTTGTCATTATTGAACTTCATCAGAGCTGCCAATAAAGGCTGTCTAGGTGAAAGTATTTGGAAGCCACAATGCTGATACTATTTTTTGGTTATTTACTTGTATCATTGCTTGTTTGCATAAATTTGTACAAATCTAGCTCTAGGCAAAAGTAGAAGAAAAAGTCTAATGTAGACAGTGTCTTTTTTATCAATTTTAATGTGAGATGATTAGGTTTCTGATATGCATGAATAAATGTGTCTGCTTTATCTTTTGTTAGTCATTAGATTGAAGGTGGTAAAATGAAGGGACTCTCTTCACTTTTTTACGATAGTTCCTCTTCATTTCCTTAGACCAATATAGAGTCTAAAGCTTAATTCAACAATATTTCGTATGACTTAGTTGCTTTTATGCATTTTACAACAGTATGGTTGAAAACTTGAAATATCCCTGTATTTTATTCAGCCTGGTCAAGCATTTCAACTTTGGTTGCCTTTTAGGATTTTGTTTTTCTTTATAATGTCTTAATGTGATTTTTGTATTTGCAAATATATACTTGTCACCAATGCATTGTGGTAATATATTCAATATTTAGGCTTAAATAAAATTCCGAGTCCTTACAATTGCAATGTAAGACTCTTTTTGTTTTTTAGTTTTGTTTTGTTTCATTCCTATAAATCTTATTTCAATATCTATATAATTGTAGAGCTTCTATACAAGTCTCTCTTATATATTCTAATTTTATTTATTTATTTTGGGAAATATCATTCTCTCTTATATATTTTGAAATCACATTACATGGAAATAAGTTTACAACTACAGAAAAATATATTTTTCCTGTTCCGATAAAGGTTGGACTTTTTAAGAGATCAAAATGAAGAATAATTGTATTTTATAGAAGGATTAATAATTCATTCAAACCTAATTTTCCACACTCAAATTTTCTTGTAGTCATTTCAAATTTGTCTACTATCTTAGAATTGTGCATTGGTTATCACAGTATTTGGGTAAAGGGTGAAGAAAGAAACAAATGTCATTTTTCACCACTGTTGTCTTGAGATTAGTGAGAATCTAATTCAAATGACTGTTTAAGGCTGTCTAATGACGTAACCTGTAATCACATGCATGTGTTCTGTGCATGTAAGGGAGATGTTCTTCCATAGTACCTATTGAATTACAATACTCACCACCACCTATTTTAGGTTTGTGTCTGAACAATTAACATTGGAGATAGTCCTTTGACGGTGAATGTTTCTTGCTTTAGGAAGTAGGACGATGCAAGACTTATCTTTGCTACATAAAGGCATTTGTAACTTTCATTTCTGCAATTGGACTATTTTGTCTCCGCCAAAAATTGACACGAATTCTTGGTGTATTATATATCTTCAAGTTAAACTAGGTAAGTTATTCATTGCGGTAAACAACAGACTAGAAAAGTATGTTTCTGTTAAGAATTTTTATTTGATTGTAAGCCAATTGTACTCTTTCTAATATTTCTCTTTTGTTCTTTTGTCATTTTCGTTTATCGTATGCCTGCAAAAGCACACTTAGATAAGGGTGAAAACACATATTTTTTCTTTTGTGTAGTTTTGGAAAAATAAAAAAACCATGTTTCAGTGTTCACATGAAGAACACAAGAAACTATGGTAGGATGCATTGATACGTGGGATGAACATTTTGTGTTTCGTAATTATGGAGATGAACATTTTGTGTTTCGTAATTATGGAGATGAACATTTTATGGGCACAGGAAAATTCGAGAATTTGTTTGTTAACGATGGAATTGACATATATTTTGTTTAAGCGAGTAAGTGTAAAAGGACTTTAACGATGCTTATGTTAGTGTTTTTGAAAATTTAATGATGCACCCGAGAAATTCGCATAAAGTCACTTTTGAGGGCACCAAAGGTCAAAAGTAATTGCAGTTCATTTATGGCAAAATTAATTAGAGTCCGAACATCGATGGATGAGTTATGGCAGGTTTCGAAAGTAAAAATTTGAAGGTTCAACCCCTTTTACATGGATTTTTTCCGGTTAGATTCTTTCTTATCGATTTTATCAATTTAGTTTTTTATTTTGAAAAATTGATTAAATTAGACCTCTGTCGTTAAATTAGTTTAACGAGATTAAATTTTTGATGACCTATGATATTGACATAGACCGTTTTTTAAACGTGGCATTGAAAGTGAAAGACCGTTTCTTATACATGAGATTTGATAAAAGAAACATTTTAAAAATTAGGTTTCGAAAACTCCACCACCATTGAGCATCTCGAACACCTCTATTTTCATCCTCAACTTCCCCATCCTCCCTTCCGTCACTCCCTACATCCTCACCGTGAACGACTTCTTCCTTGTCACCCTAAAGTTCATCTTCTTTGCCACTGCCTCCAGCTTCGCCATCACCGACGTCAAGTGCTTCGATATGAATATCAATGACGATCGCTTCTTCGTTTCGAACAGAATACTCAAATCATTATAAGACGGATGAGCTGGCTTGGCCCCGATTAGTTCCCCATAATGGTTGCTGTTGCTGTTACCATTTTCATTGCCGCTGACGTTTACATTGCCACCGACATCGTCCCCGTTGAAGTCGATGTGAGGGTGATGAACCAAGTGCATAACGGAGACCTCGTGCTTTATCTATTTCACCAACTTATCCTTCTGAAGCTTCTCTTTTTTTATGACCTTGATGGCCACGATGTCGTTTGTGCTGAGGTTTCTCCCGTGGTACACTTTGGTGAAGTTCCCCTGCCTCAATAGCTTCCCTATCTCGTACTTGTTGAACAGGATGTTCTTGCTGCCACCCGTGCCATTGGATCTGCGATCCATCTCGGCGGCGGGGATTGTTGACCGAACCAGTTTTACCCTAACGTTGTTAGTGGTTTTGGTTTTGGGTTTCAATTGGAGGCTTTGAATTGGAATTGGTGGAGGTGGGAGAGACCCAGATCGAAGGGCTTGACCCTTATAATGAAGAGGGTGTCCAATGGACACATCATGTTCTAGAGAAAAGATTTGGATGGGTTGAAAATCTTCATGGTTGCATGCGGGGGAGGGAAAAGAAAAAGGGTGGATTTGGGGTTCTTTACGATTAGAGATGGTGTTCTATGGAGATTCGAAAGTCTCGCGTTTTGCGTCTAGCGCGATTTAGGGTTTGTGGCTAATTGGGGGGTTTTCAGATTTATGATTCTGTTTTCTCTTTACAGGTTTCAAATGGTTTACTGGAGAAGAAAATAGATGATGATGATGAGTTCGGTTGCGGCGTGAAGAGCTTGAGCGCTGGTTACGTATGCCATGGTGACGATTTGCCCTCGCGGTGCTGGATGAAAGGAGATGAATTAAAGCGAACATGGCAGAGTCACGATTTTGATTTTGTGGTTACTTGATTGCAGGTTGATGGTGCACGAGGAAGATGATGGTGGTTCTGAGGCGCGATTAGGTTCTCTGATGATGGTTCTGGGTGGTGCTTGACTGTAATGGAAGATGACTTTTTTTTTTTTAAATTTTTTAATCAAAATGTTAAAATGTTTTTAAATTCCACGTAGAGCTCTGTGAATGCCATGTTTAAAAAACTATCCACGTCAATATCACAAGTCATCAAAAATTTAACCTCGTTAAGCCAATTTAACGGTAGGGGCCCAATTGAGTCAATTTTTCATTATAAAGGACTAAATTGGCGAAACCGATAAGACATGAATCTAACTGTGAAAAACCCACATAAATAGGGACTTCCCAATATGTTTAACCAAATTTGAAAATATTAAGCATGGTCTTAAAATTTAAGTTCTAAGTCTCATAAAAAAAACTTTAAAATTGAAATAGAATAAGAAATAAGGAAGATCTTAACTTTAACTTTATTAGTATGTTACTTTAGAAATAATTAAATTTTTAAGTTATAAAAAATTAAATAGAAATTATAAAATATGAATGTTATAAACCAAATGACATTTGAAGGAGATTTGAAGAGTATATTTTTGTTAATTAGTTTGTTTTTAAGGTTTTTTTAATAAATTTCTTAATTTATAAGGAAAATTAGTCTTTATTTAGTTGTAGGATTTTCTTTGGGTGCCTTTTTCATGATATTATGATTATGCAGCTTTTTAGAGTTTTTCAGATACTTATATATAAATTTCAAGTTTTCTTTTAAATAAAATATATTCTAAACATATCTTGATATCAATAATTGGTATCAAAGTTTTAAAAGGGAATGTACACTAGTAAAAACAATGTGAGAGAGTAAGTGCAATATTAGAGTGAATACACGAAGAATGATATTAAAAAAATTTTCTACGATTGCTGCTCTTAGAGGGGGATTCCAAAGCTTGGAATCTGACTAACAAAAGCACAACAGAAGATTGTCTCTAAGAGCAACCTTAAAGAACTCCTCGTTCCAAGCTATTAATAAAGAAG